AATCAAGAATTTCCATATTAATAAACATAAATTCATAAGTGGAAGGAAGAATATTTATTTGCAAACATTTTTGTCATAAATTAGAAACTTAAAGTGCAAAAAATATGCATATTTGAATATAAAGTTTCTTATGCAAATTGCAATGAGCAAGTGCACTTGAAAAACATTTATTCATTCCATGATTAATTGCTACAATTATGAATTTGTATTTAGTCGACACCTCCGTGAATAATAATGTTGCACTCAACGAGGAACTTTTGTGTGGGTGTAAACTTGAAAATTACGGTTGTTTGGCTGACGCCACACTATATTTTTTTTTAAACTAGAATATTTTTTTTTTGGAACCAATTTCATTAAACAAAAATTTTTTTTTAATTGACACTGAAGATAAGTATGTGCTAAAAATATGTAAGTTTGAATGATGCGAATTTAAGTTGTTCTTGTACTAAATATTTATTTACAAGAAGCCACAATGATTAAAAATTTCTTATTTACATTTTTTTATTACATTAATAATAAAGATGTCAAAGAAAAATGTATGACTTTCCATTTTATGGCTGCTGCATGTGTATGTGTATTAGACACGAACAACGGCAATTGATTGCAATGTGCGCAATTGCCTATGCGCGATTGCGCTGATAAAATTCGTGACACCAGCCAAGAGTRAGAAGAAGAAATATGTGAAAGCTTATAAGAAGAGTGGGAAAATAAGTTAGCATAAAACGTTATACAAACACATAGAAAACCTCCCTTGAATACACTGTTGRCGGGAGGAAGGTGGGCAGGGTGAAATTGAATGTGAAATGTTGGGGTTGGAATAACGGAAGAACGCCCTATACGCAGGTGGGGTTGTCCCATGGGAGAAATTTGTGTTTTTTATGCTCGTATATGTATGCGAAAATATTTATGTGTTGGTGTAAATGAGTATAACAGCCCAGTAGGCAGAGTTAGAGATAATGAGTTTAATAGGAAATTGCTTTTCTTCTTTTTTTAACAATAAAATTTTTTATTTTGATAAATTAAGCAGAAACAAGAAAAAATCTTAACTTCARCTGCACAGTAGCTTTAATACCCTACACAGGTTAATTTTGTATAGCGTAAAAAAGCATAAAATGATACTTAGCTTGATTTTGATCGATCTGTTTGTATGACAGCTATATGCTATAGTGCGCCGATCTGAACAATTTTCATGGAGATTATAGCGCTATCCTAGAAATTGATCTATGCTGAATTTCGCCATCTTGTTAAATAACAAAGTTGTCCATACAAGGTCTTAATTTAAATTGAGCAACTTCTTGGAGAGAAAATTATCTGTGCAAAATTTCAGTTTGATATCACAAAAACCATTAATTCAGTTTTAGGGTATATACAGACAAAATAATTAGTTTTCTGTTTCTCTACACAAATCTTCGTACTCAGCTTAGCATACGCATTTCCTACAGTGTCGCTATAGGGGTGTGTTAGCGTATATTTATTTACATTTCTTGGACTGCCACAGAAATGGAAAACGTGCCAATTGTGTGGGAAGCAAATGGGTGGCAAGGTAAAGCCATTAAATTACATTTAAACTCAAATCGCGATAAGGTAAATTATAGAGAACTACAACTAAGGGCAATGCCGAGTTAATAATGGAAGTAAACTTTAAATAGTTGACTGCCTGTCTTTWCTTTTATCTGGCGATGCACAGATGTGTGTATATAKGTATGTATATTRTATATGTATGTTATATACATTTATTCGTTTATTTAAACTATGAAGAATTGTAAAATTATGCGGCAAACGTGGCGAACGCACCATTTTGTTTATCAGCACGCAGTTCACGCATAAAAAAATTACGGTAATACCTTAAATCAAAGCAATTACGATAGTGGCCTTGATTTGCATAACTTAATGGTTATATGAACTCATGTCAGCCGATAGTACACGTACGTCTTTGAGCACTGCAGCACAAAGTACACGTCAGCTACCTTCGGCTTTTTTTTGTTTTTTTGTATAAATAAATTCGATTTATGGCTGACAAAGTCTTATCATTGGCAAGTGACCCCGTTACWAATAATGATTTATGCCCACGTATATATATACATATGTATGTGTATATTGCATATATATATGTATGTATGGCATATACATATGCCCTATGTGTAAGCCTTCGACGAGCAGGTGCAAGCTTCCTCCTTGCAAGTGCACTCACCAAGGTTGCATTCGGGARAACTTGCGCAATTTATACGCTTTTTCTTTTGAGCTTTTCGTCTTTTGTTCGCAACAAATTTTTAATTCAATTTCGTTTGTTAAAAAGCTTYTTCAATGCTTTTAACTTCAAAACACTTTCGAAAATGTGTGAGTACACTCATATACATATGTAAGTATATATAAATTTATAAAGTTTGGCTATGGAGCGTGAATTATGGCGCGAACAGCTGTTTAAGTGTGTTGCATGTGTATTTCTCCTCACAAACATAGAACTGCACATCTGTAAATATATACATATACATACTATACATACATACATATGTATAAAGAGCATATCAGCAAAACTTTGACGAAACTTTGATTTTTAATATAATTTGTGCAAAGTTTTTTTCGGTTCTGTTTTTGTATAGTTTTTCCTATTTCTTTAGGGAGCTGAGTATAATGCAAATGTAATGGTATTAATAGAATGTAGCAAAATAAAAGCCAAACTGATGCAAGCAGTATACTCAAGCTGGATATTTTATACACCAGCATTTTATGAGCAATCTCAAAGTGTTGTCTCGGCGTATTTGTTCGAAAATCAATACGCTTGCWTATAATATAATTAAGGGTGCTAAGTAAATAGATGAAAAACTTGCAAGGAGWGATTACGTCAAAAAGTTTGCTGGCGTTGCTTGCTATGTGGCATTCGAATGCTTTTAAGACAACCTTACAACCTGCAAATAAATTTTTGGTTCGAAATGAKAGAGAAATCATATGAACCGATGAAGACTTTTTTTGAACAAATTTTATAAATTTAGAAAAGTTTCATGGAGAATTTTCACCACTGTAAAAAAAAAAGGATCTTTAGGGAGCAGGTTCTAGGTAAAATTTTCTTCAAAATAATTTTTATGGTCAGGGCATTTCTAAAAACTATTGCTCATACGACATGTAAGTCAATGTTTTATATTTTGAGAAGAGTGGTAAACATGATGAAATAGATAGAAAAAAGGGTGGCAAAGATACTGTTTTTTTCGAGTGTCAAAAAATTACTGAGGTCAGAAGGCCTCTAACTAAAACTACTTTTTTATATTTTTTCAAAAATTGTGATATTTTGTAAAATATATTTTTGATCTAAATTTCATTACTAAAAATAATTTGGTATTCAATAAAAAAAATTATCGCATACTCGATACTATGCGTTTTAGTTGACAGAAGTATTTTATTAATAATAAAATGTATTTTTGAATAATCGTTACACAGAAGTTTTTAATATTCAATAAGAAAAAATTCGCTTGCACTCCACTGTATTTGTTAGTTGATAATATTTACTGTAAAAAAAAAAAAAATATTTTACCATAATCGTCACTCAGGAGTATTTGGTATTCAATAAAAAAATTTTTTTTCGCCTACACGATGTTATATATATTAGTTCAAAGAAYTAAATATTAAGAAAAGTATTATTTTCGAATATTCGTTACTCAAAAGTAATTGGTATTCAATAAAAAAGACTATTCKCATACGCTTCACTCTGTTTGTTAGTTGATAGTATTTAACGTTAAAAAAATATTTTAACATAATCGATACTCGAAAGTATTTGGTATTCGAAAAAAGTGTTCGCGTACACTAATTGTTAGTTGCTAATATTTATAATTGATTTGAAAACAGCAATAATCGGTATAAAAATACCGGTATGTAAATTTCTAACGAATTTACTACGTTTTTWTGCGTTTCCATATATTTGGTACCTATAGTGAGTAACCATTGAATCTATGCACTAATAATAATTTAAAATTTCTTTAAAATTTTACGTATTTTTACATTCTTTGACGCTAAACAACATTGCTCACAGTTTTTCTAACAGAAATATTTTACAAAAAAAAAAAATAAATAAATAAATAAATAAATAAAGAATTACGCAATTAAGCACTCACCATTGGTTGTTGCGGTTGATCTTTCATGGTTTGTATTTGTGCGGTTATTTGATGTTGTTGCAGCTGATGTTGCTGCTGTTGTTGCTGATGCTGATGTTGATGCTGTTGCTGTTGTTGYGGCAGCTGTTGTTGCTGATGTAGTGAATGTTGCTGCTGGTGTTGCTGATGTTGTTGTTGCTGTTGCAACTGTTGGTTAGACTGCACTTGCTGTTGACCTGTCTCTTATACACATCTAGATGTGTATAAGAGACAGTGTTGTGGCAGCTGTTGTTGCTGATGTAGTGAATGTTGCTGCTGGTGTTGCTGATGTTGTTGTTGCTGTTGCAACTGTTGGTTAGACTGCACTTGCTGTTGACTGTGTTGCTGCTGATGTTGCAAGTGTTGTTGYTGTTGTTGATGTTGCTGCAATGTATTCAATTGCTGCTGTTGCTGTTGCTGATTAGCACCTACACCTAATAGACCGCTGTTCGCATTTGGCGATTGATGTGGCACAACAGTGGCTATCGTTTGAGCTGACGGACTTAACGCCGAATTGGCGGCGGCGGTCACAGTCGCTGAGGCTTGACGTGGCGATGTGGTAGCTGCTGTGGCGGTAGCAGCACCGTTGGCGGCATTTAATTTATTCGACTTGGCTGTTGAAGCTTTGCGACCACGTGCCTGCAAGAAAGAATGAGTGAAAATCGTGGTTAGTTAGTTTTGAGCAGGATTTTTTTTAATTAAGTTATATAGTAAATAAAGACAGATGTATTATATATAGAAAATATAGTAAATTTTAGCACATTGTGTAGTGTATATTAAGCTTGACATGCGCTTTGTAATATTCAGTAGGGAAACGTYGGAGAGCCTTTAAGTTATACTTATATACATGTTCGCCTGTATATAAACGTACATAGTTTTAAGACATAAATCTGAAATTTTTAACATTTCTGTTTCTTCTAAAGTAAAAGCTCATTTGTCGAAATCGCCGATATCGGACTACATTATAGMACTGAGCGTATAAGCGGAGTRTTCAAAATCAAGTCTTTGTATRGAAAACTTTTTTAGTTTATAAGATATTTTCACGAAATTTGAYATCCTTTATTGYTAGRGACTATACTATATTCTCACMAAAAATTATTTAGATCGAACCACTATAGCATATAGCTGTCATACAAACTGACCATTCARAGTCAAGTCCTTGTATGGAAATCTTTTTTAGTTTATAAGATACCTTAACGAATTTGAAGAATAATTATTGTCCAGAGCAACACTATATTTTACCAACACAGTTTTTCAGATCGGACTACTATAGCATATAGCTGTTAAACAAATTGACTACTCAAAGTCAAGTTCTTGCAGGGGAAAACTTTTTTAGTTGAAGAGATATCTTCATGAAATTAAGCATGAATCATTATCCAAGTCAACGCCACAAATTACAAAAAAATTGTTCAGATCGGACCAATATAGCATATAGCTGTCATACAAAGTGATCGTTCAAAATAGAGACAAAGCTCTTTCTATACCCTTTTATGTTATAAGAAAGGCAAACGTAAGGGGTATTACATCTTCAGTGCAATCAATAATGCATATTTTCAAATATTTTCCAATATTACATTTAATGTGTGTATAAATTATAACTAAAACATCTTGTTACTTCTGACCTCAACAATTTGGCAATTTGCGTCGAATTTATATGCTATTAAAATCTCAAATTAACTAAATGTCAAATATAATTGCTAAAGTACTAAAAGTAAAACCAAAACATTTTTTTGCCATCATTTGCCGCTATACTAGTTAGGCTCATACATCTACATACATACAATATTAATATAATATAGTATGTATGTATAAATGTTCATAAGTAAGCACACAGTTAGTGCGTTGATGTTTGTTTGTTTGCTGTTGTTGTTGACCGATAAATTGCATGCCATAAATTCCAGCTTAACTGTCATTACTGTTGTTGGCTGTTATTTTTGCGGCGCTGGTGGTTTGAACTTACAAACTTATTATTACGTTTTGTAAACAAGCTGTCGTTTCATATATACAAATATTATATATGATATGTACCATATATAGTATATGCATCTATGTATATGTATGTATAGTAATATATGTACAGTTAAGTATTTTTATGGGTGTGTCCCCACCACATATGTTTGTGGGTGCAATTGATTGACCTTTGCGGCATTGGCTTGCGGTGAACCCGCCGCTGTTGGCCGTCGTTGACCGCCATAACGCCAGTTTTGTACACGTAATTTTCATATTTTATGAATTAAATATCGCAATTAAAATGTAATTGAACGATACAACCGCATGCATGCATGTATGTGTAGCTATGAATAGACCAAAATAGAACATCAAATTTGCATGCGTTTGTAGGACTATGCCATAGTAGCCACTTATTTGTTGGAATATGTGCATTCTTCATGTGACAGCAGCTAGCATTAGCCATTCTAAACCGCAGTGCTAGCTTTTTGCCACACTAAAACTCACATCCACTATAGTTATTATAACAAAAATTTGTTGTTGTTAAAAYTATTTATCTATTTTTAGTTTTTGCTTTGTTTTATTAATTTTTCTTTTAGTAACGAGACGGCAATTTTAGCATTTCACATGTAATTTTAATTGCTAATATAGAAATTTAACGCGCCGTCACACCAATTGAAATTAATTAATCCCATATTCCAGCGAGCGGGCCAACTAAGGCTGGTTAGCTGAAAATGCATTTCAACGATTTGCAATTAAATGCAAATGACACGACAAAAATGGAATAATGGGGGAAAGGCAAAAATKAATAACTTAGGCAGCGGAAAAATTTTAATTGTTTAGTAGAATAGACGGTATATTTTGTAGCTATTTAGTGCTTTTGGGTACTATGCATCATTAAATGTTGCTGTTGTTGTAAAATTTGAAGTTCTTATATAAGGCGTGTTATTGCTTGAGTGAGGGTCTCTACAGTACAGAAATGTGAGAAAATATATCCAAATACTTTTGAAATATTATTTTAAAAACAAGAAAATTAAAAAAATGAAAACAATGAAAATTTAATTTTAAAATAGTTGAAAATTGTTAACAATTATTATTATTTTGTTTTTAATTAGATTTCAATATTACATATTTAT